TCATGACGTGAAGCACGGTGGTGGCAGCGTCATGACATGAAGCATGGTGGTGGCAGCGTCATGACATGAAGCACGGCGGTGGCAGCGTCATGATTTGAAGCATGGTGGTGGCAGCATCATGATGTGGGGATCTTTTCAGCAGCAGCCTGTACAGGTTGAGGGTTATCAGCTCATCATTGGTCATTTCAGGTCAGTTTTATGGATCCCAACATGTTCTCGCCTCTCATGAACGTGAGAATTTGCTTTTTGTTGTTTTGTAGTTGATACTGAACGTGCATATTTTGTGGGATTTTCAGTCGTAGTAATTTGACAGTGTTGTAGGAAACTTTACAGGCATTTCACCGTCTTCTGACTGAAATAACCAGAGCATTGATAGATGATTAAAGTATTGATTAGCTTTAGCCCTGCAGATCAGCTTTAGTTTTATGTTCTACAAACCTCGTCCTGTAATAATCCACAGTGCAGCTGTATCTGACAGTGGGTCCGTGTCCTTATTTACGGAGCAAATACTGTCTGATGTGTCCATAATGCAGGATCAGGTCATGTTTTATAGGCGATCTCGTCCTGCACAGTGAGCTGAAGTTTCTCAGCCGTGACCTTATAAAAATAACCGCCGTAATGATGCACTAGTTGGAGTCGGCGCCCTCGCAGCTCTCTCATCTTTTACTACCGAGGCTTTACTGTAACGCTGCTCTAATATTTGCAGTCGAGGCTTCCAGTAAAGCGAGCTGTTCCACTATATGTTGGTGTCCTTTGTGTGCAGTGGTGCATTAAAGCTTCAGTCAGTCAGTCAGTCAGCAGTCGGGCTTCCTCTCAGGACACATTCATTATTTCTGTATTCAGTGTGAGTCCAGCTGCAGGACAAACACATGGAGGATTTATTTCAGGCAGTGATGTTAGCGTGATGACGAGATGTTGACGAGAAAACCTCCAAAATCTCCAAAAGGAAACTGCAGAAAACTAAGAATCTTCTTGTCTTCTGCTTTCTGAAGGTCCTTGAACGCATCATGTGTAAGGTACTCTTCCATCAGGAAAATCTGACCTTCAGATAGATAAATAGATATTTCATCAAAATCACTCGTCTGCATGTCTTTGCGTCACTGGATTGATCCAGAATGACAGAATTTGTGCACAAAGAGTCAAATTGTTCAAAATGATTCAGTTTTTTTTTTCTCAAAAATGACCCAGCTTGCTCCAAATGGCTAAAAATGAGCAAAATGTCTCAAAATTGGTTCAAAATGTCTCAAAATTTGGGCAAAATAACTCATTCGTCAATAACAATCTTTCAATAAATTGTTCAACATGACAAATTTGTCCACAATTACTTTAAAGTTGTTCAATTTTTCTCAAAATAACAGAACTTTTTTGGAATTACTCAAAATTTGTTTAAAATGACTCAAACTCAAGTGACTCAGTTTGATCTAAATGACTTAAAACGTGTCAAATGGCCCGAAATATATTCAAATATTGTCTGTAGTGACTCAAACGTTGTTCAAAATGTCTCCAAAATGATTTAAAATGAGTCAGAAATGGTCAATGACTCAAAAAGTTGTTTAAGGTGATTCAAACTTTGCCTCAGATGACTCAGTTTGATCTAAATGCCTCAGAACGTGTCAAAAATAACTCAAAATGTATTTAAACATTTTCCGTAGTGACTCAAACATTGTTCAAAATGATTCAAAACAAATCAGAAATGGTCAATAATGACTCAAAATTTGTGTAAAATAACGCATTTGTCAATAATAATCTTTCAATAAATTGTTCAACGTGACGAATTTGTCCACAATTACTTTAAAGTTGTTCAAAATGATTTATTTGATTACTCAAAATTTGTTTGAAACGACTCAAACTTTGCCTCAGATGACTCAGTTTGATCTAAATGGCTCTAAATGCGTCAAATATCGTCCGTAGTGACTCAAACGTCGTTCAAAATGTCTCCAGAATGATTCAGAATAAGTCAGAAATGGTCAATAATGACTCAATAAAACGACCGGATGTGTGGATGATGCGTCAGACGTGGTCCGCATGCGGCCGTGTTTCCGCCGAACAGAGATTCGTGTGACGTCGGCTTCCCTCTCAGATTATCTGTAATCTTATATGTGACAGATTAGAGCAGAGGAGGCGTATTACATCACCGTTACTTACATCCACGCTGCTGCTGACGGAGCTGCAGCCTCACGCCGATCCACACGGCGAGCTTCAACACGCCGTTTCTATCGATGTTGGAGGAAACGGCTTCGGTCTGCAGCTGCAACAGAACGAGGAGGGAAGGAAGGAAGGATGGAAGGAAGGGAGGATGGAAGGAATAATAGAAGGACGGATAGAAGGACAGAAGAGGATTAGGACGCAACATCTGTGCGTTAGCGTTCCATGTGGTGGATGGAGGCTGCTGGTTGTCTGTGATTCTGAATCGGAGTACATTTACTCTGGAGCAGTATTTAGACATGATTATTTTTGGACTCGTTCACATTTTTACTCCCAAAACATACGAAGAGCTTCTAAAACATCAGATTACATTCAGCTTCTGTTGTTACTGAAGAGTCCAAGTCAACTAAATGCAGTTTAACATCCAAGCACAAGAAGCAAAGAGCAAGAATGAAGGTGATGAGATGCAAAGTCCACCTATGAAGACCGTGATGATCATCCAGTGACTCCCAGAACTCTTAATGTTCTCTGATGGAACCATTGAAACGTGAATCTTTATCACAAAAATACAATCATGAACTTTGGTTCTTTCTCAGATTTATTAAAGGTCTTCTAGAAATGGGTCATAAATATTCACACAGAAACGTTAATATCTGGTTAAATGTCCATGTTCTCCTCAGTCGGGTTCTTCTGGTTCCGTCCGCCAGCTTCTGGTTCATCTCTGACTCCTCTGGACAGAATCGCTGCAGTTCAACTAAACTTGTCGTCTTTCAGACTCAGAGTTGTTTCTTCATCAGTCCACAGGTTCTGGATGGTTCCAGTCAGGACTTTGGGGAGACCAGTCTAGAACCTTCCTGATGGAACCATTTCTTCATCACTTTGATGTGTGTTTTGGCTCATTGTCTGGTTGGAA